CGGGGGGGGGGGGGAACAAGGGGGGGTGGGGTCCGTGGGCGGGCACGGAAAAAAAAAAAAAAAAAAAAAAAAAAAAAAAAAAAAAAAATACAACAATAAAAAATAATGCAAATTTAAAAAAACAATAAAATAACTATTTACATAGCATTTATACTATATTAGGTATAAGTAATCTAGAGATAATTTAAAGTATGTGGGAGGATGTGCATGAGTTATATGCAAATACTATGCCATTTTATATAAGGGACTTGAGTATCCTCAGATTTTGGTGTCTGCAGGGATCCTGCGACCAGTCCTCCATGGACAACTGAGGGATGACTATAATAGGAGCTTCATAAATATTTATTGATTGAAGAAATAATGAGAAGCATGCGCAAGCTCCTAAACCTACTTAGAATTTCCAAAGCTACTCTTTCTTCTACAAACTGGAATTGAGGGACACATAAAGAGAATCCACCAACACCTCTCTCTCCACACACACCCCAACCTCATACTCCACCACCCCAGCCCAGCTATAGGAGTTATCACTCCCCATGTGCTAAATTGGCTTTTGCAGTAAAGCATTGATCTGGTAGTAAAGATACAAGGCTGAAAATGCAGTTGTCTGGACTTAACTCAATATGGAATATCCAATTTCTACCTTGTTTTTTATGTCCTTAACTCTAATGTCCTGGTAGGATTGAATTTGTATCTAAATTCTGAGCACACTACTTGCCTAGGGCAGCAAGAGACCTTTCTTCTAATTTAAATTAGCTGAAGGCTGGTTGTCCTATATGTGAAAATGTAATCTGAATATCCTGATTAAACACAGGCCATCCCAGTTAGGTGAATTATCTGAAGTACTGCTTTTTATCTACTGACATTTATAATTAGAAAGGCTTAGAGCAGTTAAATTTTATTAATGGCATCCATTTGTATGTTATTGCAAATTGTGTTTCCTGCAACCGAGAGAAGCTGCTTTTCTTTTCCTTATCTCTATTTAAATTTGAACATATATTAAACATATCTAAAAAGAAATAATTCTGCAGAATAAGGAAGTATTTAACAAGAAACAACATTTTTATATCCTTAAGTTTTATGTATAATTCTTTTTTTTAAAAGAATCTTCTGCTGACTTTCAACTTTTCCTTGAAAAATGGCTCATTTCCATCATATGGGGATGAACAGTATGGACCAGAACAGCACCATGCCACCTTCTCACCATCACCCGGCCACTTCAGCCTCACACTCCCACGGCGGAGGAGACAGCAGTGTAATGATGATGATGGTGAGTGCCAGAGGAGAGGCAGTGCAGCCCTTTCCACCACACTTGGGTAATAGAAATAATGGAATTTTAGCACTGGAAGGTTATTATCTTTAAAGGTCAGTTTACCAATGAGGAAAAACTAAAGCAGACCCAAACTAGTCAAGTGATTTGCCCAAGATCATGTGGCCAGTTAGTTACAGAGTCACGCCAGATCAAGATTTCTAGGGTTCTTTCTTCTGTAGTCCCTTCTTTTATTTTTATTTACTTATTTATTTTTTAAAAGATGACCAGTAAGGGGATCTTAGCCCTTGACTTGGTGTTGTCAGCACCACGCTCTCCCAAGTGAGCCACGGGCCGGCCCTTGTAGTCCCTTCTTTTATTTTTATTTACTTATTTATTTTTTAAAAGATGACCAGTAAGGGGATCTTAGCCCTTGACTTGGTGTTGTCAGCACCACGCTCTCCCAAGTGAGCCACGGGCCGGCCCTTGTAGTCCCTTCTTTTAAAATTGACCCTTTTCTAAATCTAGTTCACATCATTATGTTTTGTGTAGAAAAGAGAAAAACAAAGTTGATGATAGAGAACAGGAGAGTACTCGTGCTTGGTGCCTGTGGTAGTGATGCTAAAATGAGGGAGAAAGCCTGCCACTTCATTGAATGTCTCTTATTATCCAGACCTGCGACTTTTAAATGTTCTAAGCTACTTTGCTTGAAAAGGATCTTCAGTCATCTCTAATTGACTTGTTTTGGTTTTCTGGCAGCCTATGACCTTCTACTTTGGCTTTAAGAATGTGGAACTATTGTTTTCCGGTTTGGTGATCAATACAGCTGGAGGTGAGTAAGCCAAAAATAAAGTGGTATTTGAAGGTGACAGTCACATGAGACACAGAGACAAAGAATTTGGAATCCCAGCACCTCTTTCTGTCCTAATTACTGAACCAATATGGTCATGATACCTAAGCATCTTGGTTCCTGTTTCCTACCTAGAAGGTGGGATACTCAATACTTATTTTTGTCCTTCAGTACACCTCCCTTAAATGACGTGTGTATGTTTTAGAGCTCTGAAAAATAATTTAGATAACAGATAGAAGTCTTTTGCAATCCATTTCCTTTCATCTTTTCCAGAGTATTTCTTTGCTTGATAAGTTGTTGGTCCTATACACAAGACTGCAGTCAAATTCAAATACCACAAAATAACCACAGGTTAAAAACTATTGTTCTAGCACAATTCTTCTATTTTACTGATAAATTAAGGCTCGGATAGTGAAATGGCTTGTCCTAAATCACATAGTTAGTATGTCAGAGCTAGGACAAAGATCCAGACCTTCTAGAGTTGCCTAGATTAGTGCTCTTTCTAGTGTACCAAACTGTGGTCCACATACTTCCCAAATCTTGGCATGACCCATCTTAGAGTCACTCCTAGTCTGGGGGTAGCTGATCACCCATCTCTTTGTGTCTGTTATGTTGCATTAGTGTGCTTTAAATTCAAATTGCACAAGCTCAATAGTCAGACTGCTTTAGGTACCAGGTGTATCTTTGCATCCACAAAATCAATTTGTTTGGGGAAGAAGGGGAACATTTAGTTCATGTAATGTTTTATTTATTTATTTATTTATTATTATTATTATTTTTAATTTTGTTTTGTCGATATACAATGTGGTTGATTATTGTGGCCCATTACCGAAACCTCCCTCCCTCCTCCCTCCCCCCCTCCCACCCAACAATATCCTTTCTGTTTGCTTGTCGTATCAACTTCAAGGAATTGTAGTTGTTATGTCTTCCTCCCCCCCAGTTTTTTTTTGTGTGTGTGTGATTTTATTTATTTACTTTTAGCTCCCACCAGTAAGTGAGAACATGTGGTATTTCTCTTTCTGTGCCTGACTTATTTCACTTAATATAATTCTCTCAAGGTCCATCCATGTTGTTGCAAATGACAGTAGTGAGTGCATTCATATCATTACCAGTACGTCACAGTGTGAAAAGACAGAATTGAAATGTCCATTCAAGATATGTAGTCAGGGGCCGGCCCGGTGGCGCACTGCTACAGTGCGCTGCTTGAGAGCGCGGCAGCGCTCCCGCCGAGGGTTCGGATCCCACATACAGACCGGCCGCTCACTGGCTGAGCGAGGTGCGGGCGCGACACCGAGGGTTGCGATCCCGTTGCCGGTCCAGGTCCGGTACGGGCGCGACACTGAGGGTTGCGATCCGTTGCTGGTCACGAAAAAAGACAAAAAGGAAAAAAAAAAAAGATATGTAGTCAGCACTTAAAAATAAGTTATTCCCCTTTTCCATACTCTACATTGTGTGTTTCAGTGTAACAAAGCTAATTTAATGACAGCAAGCAGCCAGACCAAAAGGTTATTGTCGTTCAAGTGATTTTCTTGTATCTCAATCAGAAAGTAAATATGTTCTTCTGCAGAAGCAGCAGTTTTAACTAACACCACCTTAGCTGTTCTTCTCCTGTATGGGCAGATGAAGAGGTAACAATATAATGTATTCAGAAACTGGGAGTAGCATTTTTTCTATGTTGTCTTTCTAGCTGGACAACACAGTGGCTAATCATTTTGCACATGTTTGACAATACCACCATCTTTTCCTTCCCTGCTTAGAAATGGCTGGAGCTTTTGTGGCAGTGTTTTTACTAGCAATGTTCTATGAAGGACTCAAGATAGCTCGAGAGAGCCTGCTGCGTAAGTCACAAGTCAGCATTCGCTACAATTCCATGCCTGTCCCAGGACCAAATGGAACCGTCCTTATGGAGACACACAAAACTGTTGGGTAAGAAGATTAAAAAGATCCAGATGGAAGTTATAGATAGCTGAATTACTTAAGCAGCAAAGCAGCTATTTGGGGGTGGGGGTGGAGGGGCGGGTGGCTGGTACAGGGATCCAAACCCTTGACCTTGGTGTTCCAACACCACACTCTAACCAACTGAGCTAACCGGCCAGCCCAAAGCAGCTATTTTATTAGCATCAGCTTCTTGAGTTAATGATTCTATGTGGGTACTTTAAAAAGTTCGTGGGAAAAAAATTATAGAAAAGAAAAAAAAATTCATGGATAAAAAGAATTAAAAGATAATACAGCTCCATGAACTTTTTGGAGTACTCTCATATATGACTTTTATCAAAACTGACCTTGATCAAAACTGTCTTTGGAGGTTTGGGGTTGTGGGTCATGAACAGGCCAAAGAAGGAATGATAGGAACCCTTCTGCAAAGATGAATGTTTGTTCTGAGTTGTAAGTATTGGTCACTTTGGAAGAAGGTAAGTAAGGAATCCATATTTTAAAATATCTGCCAAAATAATAATGAACAAGTTAAGAAATTCAAGTCAAAATATAAAAGAATGGCAGAATGCAATTGATTCTTTTCTATAAGAAGTTATACTTAGCCAGCTCTATTCTCATTTTGTCTATAATATACAACAGTACTAACTTCTCCTAAGTATTTGAATGACTGTTGGTTTTTTCCATAGATCAGTAAATGCTTTTTGAGATTCAGTTGTAATAAAAATGTAGGTCTTAAAACTAGATTGGACCTTAAGAAACCCTGTAGATCAACATCCTGCTTTCAAACAAACAGTATTATTTATTTCCATTGTACTGATGAGCTTAATGAGGCCTAAAAGGGCTGTTACTTACCTAAGGTGACACAGGAGATGAGTAGCCACGTCTCCTGATCCCTAATTAAGTAACATCCACTACACAACCCAACCCTCAATTCTGTTTTCATTATTGTAGAATGTGAACTTCTACAATAGGTGGAAGGCCTGAAATGTTCAGGCAAATAAGTGTGGGAGGGTTTAAGGCTTCCATTTCAGGATCCAAGGTAGACATAAGTCAGGATTACTCCTCCCTTTACCTCCCCAAAATTGTTCCTCCTAACTGGCATATAACCATATCTGACCAATGCTTATAAAACTGACAGCCATAGGGTGTTTCATTTCCAGGGACCAAGAAACAATGTACACATACACAAGTACCCATGAGTTGCCAGGGTGGCTGTGAGGCAGTCCAGTTCATGGCTATAGCTGTTCCCCCTTCCTTCTGATCTGCAGAGCTCATAGGAGTCCCTGATTGTTGTGTCTGTTTACTCTCCAGGCAGCAGATGCTGAGCTTTCCTCACCTCCTGCAAACAGTGCTGCATATCATCCAGGTGGTCGTCAGCTACTTTCTCATGCTCATCTTCATGACCTACAACGGATACCTCTGCATTGCAGTAGCAGCAGGGGCCGGTACAGGGTACTTTCTCTTCAGCTGGAAAAAGGCAGTGGTAGTGGACATCACAGAGCATTGCCATTAATGTCAGACTCCATGGTGTGGCCTTACTGATTGCACTTGGAATTAGTTCAAGATGGGAAGACATGATTCCGGCTCCAGTCATCCCTTCTTGCTCCTCTCTACACACACAGACACACGTGCGCACACACATACACACACAGACACACGTGCGCACACACTACCTGCTGAACACACACACAAACACACATACACTACCTGCTCAAGAGAGGTTTAGTTTACAGTCCCTGAGCTAAAGTAGTAACCTCCCAAACATTATTCCTGCTCCAGTCATCCCTTCTTGCTCCTGTCTCTCTCTCTCCACACAAACACACACACACAACGTGCTCAAGAGAGGTTTAGTTTACAGTCCCTGAGCTAAAGTGGTAACCTCCCAAACTGTTTTTCAATAAGCTGAGATTCCTATTTCCCTTGAGGAAAAGCCACCCATGGGATGTGTTCTCCCCCCCCACCACCACCATTCTAGATCCAAATTATATGTTCTTGTCTAATCCAGGTAGTTTTCTATTCAGTGACTTGATCATCTGCTTCCTTTTTTAATCTTCTGGGTTGTTTGTTTGTTTGTTTGTTTGTTTGTTTGTTTGTTTGTTTGTTTGACAGTATGTGAATTGGGCGAGTTTTTTCTGGTTCAGTGATAGAACAGGATTAATTTCAGCCAGGGTTGATGGCAGCTGAGGAACATACTTGCCCAACTAAACCCAGAACTCAAACTTTTAAGTTCTAGTCTTTGGATCCAATGAGTGGGAAATACATTATGCCTTTCTCTAGGTGTGATGTGTTGCACTAAAATCTTTGTGGTGTGCATAGGGGTGGTTTGAGATTAAACAGAGACCTAGAGCTTGCAGAGTGAATTCTTGGCTGGCTCATCAACTTGTGTTTCCACTTAACATTTTGATTAGAATGAACTTGCCAATAAAAAAAAAATGACAATCAATTTGAGAAAATAGAAATAGATATTTTTAAATGAAACCCTTGGCATTTTACTTTGACTTGGTACCCTGGTTTGTCCCATCTGAATGAATCAAAAGAGTTTGAATTATTTTTTCTCATTATTGTTTTCATGTGTCTGCCTCTAAGCCAGTGATTTTCAAACTTCAGCATGCATTAGAATCACCTGGAGAGCTTGTTAAACACTAGTTGCTCGGGCTGGCCCATGGCTCACTTTGGGAGAATGCAGTGCTGATAACACCAAGGCCACGGGTTTGGATCTTAAAAAAAAAAAACACTAGTTGCTGGATCTCAACTCCAGAGCTCCAAAATTGGCATTTCTAAGTTTTCCTGGGTGATGCTCCTGCTGATGGTCAGCGGACCATACTTTGAGAATCTCCGCTTTAAACTAAAGAAGTATCAGAGGTGGGCTACCTGGTATTTAGCATGGGAATTTGGATTGCTGATTGGTAGGTGGTATATCTGGGCTTAACTTACCTAGTAAATGCTGTTGGTCAATACTTAATCATTCCACATTTAGTCAGCTCCATCTGTGTGTATGTGTACCCAAGCACATGTATGAAATCACTAGTCCTATTTTTAAAGATCTGTGGTTTCTTGGAAGTAGTTTGAAAGTTGGGAGAGGCCTTTGATCTGAAGTATAAATCCATCAGTCATGGGCCAGAAGTGCAAAAGCACAGCTTTCTCTTTGGAGAGACTTAGAGTGTGGTCTTCTGATGGCCATAGTTTCCTCAGCCCTCAATATCCATGCCCATACCAGGCAGACCCTCATCTTCCACGTGACCATCTTTGTTACTCTTGGGGGCTTAATTAAATCACAAGTGGCCAAAACCTCTTTTCTTAATGAAGAATCACATTGGATTTTTATATTCTGTTCAGTTGTTAGTCTATACTGCAGTCTTGTTTCCAGTCCAAACTACCTCTGTAAAGTGATTCTTCCTGTGCTGGTCTGTTAAATCCTGCCCTCCTTGGTGCTAGATCCAATTGTGCCTCAGGGCAGAGCAGACAAAGCACAGCTATCCTGTTGGCTTGTGTTGTGGTTTTGAAGTTTGTACTTTCTCTGTGGGTGCCAGTTAAATATTGGAGAGTGAGGAATGTGTACTTCTATGGCTTTGAACCAGGAGAGGATTATGAGCCCACTGAATTGAGGTTAAAATCAAAGAACCAACAGCTAGAGCTATGTGCTTTTCTCTCATCCCCTTGTAGTGCTGATACTTTGACAGGTACTGACAGAGTCCAACGTTAAGGTGTAAATAGGCTGTTGTTGTCTCAGAAGCCAAGGAATAATAAAATCATGAGAAATAAATAAAAATAAATGTTTAGTAGTAGTGATTCTGGTGCTCTCTAGAAGTCTCGGCATGAGCTGCTATAAAATACCCTTCCAGGAACAGGACTTAAACAGCAAGGTCAGAAAAATCAAGGCCAGTTAAGACAAAATGCTATGAATTTGAAACTCACAGAGAGGAACAGTTTGGGATAGGTCTTCAGGTATTCAGGATAGAGATAATCTCCTGAAAAACCTGAATTTCAGTGATTCTTAGACTAGATTGCCAAAGGATGAAGCTAGTGAAGGAGAAAAAAGTTAAAGCTTAAATTCCATCTTTCTTGAGCTCTAGGATTGTGATTATAGAATGATCTCATTAACTTTCATTTCTTTATCCCTGTTCATTTGGAATTTAATGCCTGACTTCTTTGTTCCCTTTGGATTCCAACCCTCTCTTCCCTCCTTCCCTGTTCACATCTATTGGAAGACTGTATCCCCATTTTTTCTGGCCCCTTACTCTGTCCTCCTTTTCCCTTTCTATCTTTTCAGTCTTCTATCCCATATGTCTACTTTATTAAATCTCCCTAGCCCTCCTGATTCAGTGGATGGACATTGCTATGCTGTGTATATAAATAACAACCAAAAGTTGGTATTGATAAGCCTATTGGACAACTTAAGCATGCTTCAAGAAGCAAGTGCCCCAGTGGAATTTCTATAAGGCTGGGAAAAGGCTACACAGTACCTCCCCCCAGAGTTACAGAACCTTAGGTGCTGTCTCTAGGCTATGGTGGCAGAACACTCAGCACCCCTATTGCCCACAAACAGGGAATCTTCAGTGTCCACCAGGGAGTTAGAAATTAAGGTTTCTTCACTACCTGTAGTGAATTCCAGAATTCCCTTTCAGGCTGTGAGTACTGGTCTTGGGTTCTAGTCACACGGGGTTCCTTGTAAGGAGCTGGGCCGGGGGAGGGGGCAAGGGGTACATTTTCATGTCATTTAATTTTGATCATGCCCTCTCCAGCTGCTTCTTCAAAAGATATGTTTAAAGATACAAAGTCTGCATTTGATATAATGCCTTAATCACTGGGTCTACGATTAATGTTGACTGTTTTAGATTGTAAGCTCCTGGAGAGCAGTATTGCTGTAGTTGGAAAGTTTTAACAGTGTCATGTGCAAAAGAACAAAATAAATATTTTGATTTTGTGATTCTATGCATGTCTTTCTATCCAGGGTGATAACAGAGTAAGCTAGTCTCTTCACAGTCTGCACAGAGTCTGGCCATTACTATGAGTTTTTATGTCTTTTAGGTGGCACTATCTCTTTGTTTTATCTCTCCTCCTAGTCTAGTTAAAATGATGAGCTAATACGTGCCAGAAGATCCATGTGACCTTTTGCACAGGAGCCAGGGTCTTCATGAAACTGCAGATATTTGGTATACCAAGGATTCCTGAATTTAAAAGCTAACTCTTACCACACCATAATCCCTTCTCTGTGTTTACTCTGTCAAGCAAGAGACTCTAAACTGGGCCTCTAGGAAGTTCATGGCCAAACCTCGAGATGAGCACTGACCTTGCCTACCCCTTTAATAATGCCAGAATGCTGATGTTACTTGCTCTTCCTGCTGGTCCCCATTGGACAATCTTGCCATTCAGCACCACTCCTAGCCTCTTCTCTAGTGTAATATGAGCACAGATTTTGGAAACAATGGGTTTGAATCCTGGCCCCACTACTTACTAGCAGTGTGACCTTTGGAGAAATTATTCTATTATTATTATCCCTGAGCTTTAATGTTCTCATTGATAAGTATGAAGGCAATAATAGCACCTATTTGAGTTAGTAGCAATATTTGTAAGGCACCCAGCACAAAACAGGCATCCAAGCTATGGCAAGTTTTGGTTTTTGGAGGGTATTTTTTTTTTGCAGCTGGCCGGTACAGGGATCCAACCCTGGACCTTGGTATTATCAGCACCACACTGTAACCAACTAAGCTAACTGGCCAGCCAACGGCAAGTATGTTTTTATTTACTGATTATTGTTTCTCCAGCTTTTAAGAGAATGAAAGATACACTCCTCTGAAGGTTACTATCATTTTACAAGCATTTGACCAACTTCTGAGTTTGGGTAATCCCAAAGTGAACAGTAGGACCTAAGAAATACAGAATCGATGAATGTGATTTCAGTTGTGCCAAAAAAGATTGACAGCTGCAATAAGCTTTCATCTACTGATCTAGTAGTAATTGTCTCATTCTCTATAATTAGCATGAAAATTTAGTGACAGCTGAAAACAGCAACCTCACTCTACCCCTGACATCCCTACTTTCTTAAACTCAGCTGTGGAAGACTAAGACAGCAATGTAGCAAGGAAGTTTAGGAGCATGGTTTCAGAAATTAGGCTGTGTTCAAATCTCAGCTCTACCACTTAATAGCCAAGCATTAGTTTCACCTTTTGTAAAATTAGAATAAAGTAGCCTCCTCATAGGAGTGGAAGATTAAATGAGGTAGTCTGTGTAAGCGCTCAGTACAGTGTCTTACACACAGCCCTCTGAGTACTTGCTATCAACAGGGAAGGGGAAGACATTGAGGAGGCACAATGTTTTCATGGTTCTGGGCCTATTTATGCTGGGAAGTCAGAGTGACAAACGCTGAGGCAGTCTTGTTCCTCCCTTCTTTTTTTGGCCCTCCATAGGGCCTTTGCAGGCTTCAAGATAATATAACTTGGTTTCCCTATCTTGGTTTTTGGAGACAGATAACAGAATGGAAGGTCCTAGATAAAATTGGAAAAATAATGGTTTTGTAAGAATGTGAGGAGCAAGAAGGGAAACTATACATCCTCTTCTATCCCTGCCTCTCCCTCATTCTTATTATTTAGGCTTAAACTCCCTCAAGAAAGACTGGGTAAAATCCTGTTAAAGGGTCTCTTTACAACTGATGATTCCAAAGGTTCTTACCACCACAGCTCATAGCTCCCTGAGGTTGAATTTAACAGTTAAAACAATAGAGCATGATTCAAAATTATCCTCCAAGCTACCTCTCAGATTGATTCTTGATGAAAAATATTCTTAGGCAAGTTGAGAAAGGAAAGAAAATTGGAATGATGGTAATAGTGTTAGAAGCATTTCCCTCTTGTTTCTCTCCACTGCCTGTCCTAAGTTGTACCCAAACTAGTTACAAAGCCATTCTGTAAACAGATCTGGCACCTACAACTTGTTCACGTTTACAAAAACCACTAGAATCTGACCTCTACAAGGGCAGGGATCTTTGTTGGTCGGCACATGGTGGGCACTCAATAAATACTTGACTGAATGAGTTAAATGAAAGTGGAAGGGATTAACTGGAAGTGATCAGTGCTTAGGGTCTTTTAATAAAGATGGGAAGAATGATGTTACCTCTTGTAGCAATCACCTTTTAAAGTCTAGGGGTAAATGATGCTATTATACTTCATTAAGGATGTCTCACATTTTTCCAAAAATATATTTATTTTAAAAAACAAAAATCAGATAAGTTTTATACACTCAAATTTTCCAGAGACAAACCAGAGTTTGGATTCCAGCTTAGAGAGAAAGTTAAGCATCAGTAATCTCATGCAGAAGTATTCCTCTCTACAGGAGGTAAAATATTCTGCTTGACTGCAAGCATTCATTCTCTAAATCCGGTTTGTACTTCTGCCATCATTTTACTCTGTTCCAAGGATCTGGCATGCAAGATAATCCATCCCTAAAATTCAAAACTTCCAAATTGAGATGAGCGATTGTTGGGCTTTGGTTGGGGTTTATAACCAATTCGATCATTAATCATTTGTTCCCGGCTCTTGGGGTCACTGCTGAGCCCAATGGCTCCTTCTCCATCGCTGCTTCCTACGACTTCCACGTCTTCCTTCTGTTTCTTACGGG